TGACGTCAATAAAAGTGCTCGAACGAAGTGCACCAGACGTTCTGGAGAGGACCTTGCACAACTTTTTGAAAGTCCGACCGGATCAGTCCGCGTCCTCTCCAGAACGGATGGGTACGAGACTAGTATGTCAAAAGTTTTAATATTGGAATTCCGAGAAAGTAATCAGATAGCCTGAAAGCTATGGGCAATCCGAGCCGACTGGCGCTATTTTCGGATGCATTGGAGTCTTTGCCGGGGACGAGATACCATCACGCGTTCGGCTATGCCCGAGGCGTCGGTTTTGAGCGACCGACACCAAGAGGGGTGCAAGATCCAAATCGGGAACACGGACCTACCTTTGCACTGGGTCATTATTGATGTTCGGGGTCCTAGTACGCACTCTTTGCTCAGTTTCCCGTTAATCCTTGCACAGTCGCCGAATCAAGTCCCATATTGCTCTAATAAACGCTTGCACGCATGTAGTACGATATAAGCAATTTTATCATTTAGTCTATGTCACGATTTAATGCCTTCTGAATATCTGCTAGTACGCGCCGTCTGGGACGAATGTCAGACCTCGTGCTTGCCAGAAAGTCACGTGACACTGCGGCAAAGATGGGTCTCTAATTTTATTGTCGCTGTCCAAATGAGGTCCGATTGCGCTTCTGCCGCTGTCCGGCTCGTCCGTACACGGAAGGGGGACTCCCCCCTACCCCCTTTCCGGGGGTCCTGGAAAGTTGGAGGTCGGTGTCCAAAATTCTGGTTTTGCACCCCTCTTGACCGACACTGTAGACGACCACCATCAAAATTGACGAGCAAGCCGGCATCTCGGCTGATGCATTTAGAGTCGAATCTATCAGGACAGGAAACGACTCTAAATGCTTATAAGCAGGAGCTTTCGTTATCGTAGCTAACCTAGCTCGGCCGTTCAGCGGATTGCACTCGATGCACTTTCTCGCATGTGCGCAGAGTTGGGCAGTATGGCTAGCGCTGCTTAGCGCCGGCGCTCTGGCAGTGGGGTCTCACGACCAACGGCCATTCGTCTCCAACAGAGGGAGCGGAGGAGGAGCACACAAAGCTCGGGTGGGTGTAGGATATGTCGGTGGGCTCAACCCTCTGTCACACCAGGACTACGCCCCTTTCACGCTCGCTCCATTCGACGCCGAGTCATTCAAGCCTTACGGTCATCTGCCGTCTTTGACTAACGACTTCACGATTCTGCAACATCCCGCGTTCCCCAAGTACAGCGTCAGGATCAAGAAGAGCGACTTTTGCGACGGAACTGTGGCGTATGTGTCATTGACTCTCAGAAGATGTTATTTTCATGACTGATGCCCGGTATGCCAACACAGGGCGTACACCGGATACATTGATATCGAAGCTCGGCATTTATTCTTCTATTTCTTCGAGAGCAGAAGCGACCCGGCCAAGGACGACGTCATCTTCTGGACAAATGGCGGTACGCCAAAACGCACAGTACTACTTAGGAAGGACAAGAATACTAACTAGGTTACATCAGGTCCCGGAGGCTCGTCAACAATCGGCCTCTTTATGGAACTAGGTATGTCCCTGATTACATATTCGAGGCATAGACGAATACCGAAGAGTGCGACATAGGCCCATGCAGGGTCGTCAACGCCACAGCGACCGAGTTCTCCGAAGAGTCGTGGAACTCGAACGCTAACATATTCTTCATCGACCAACCCGTCGGTGTTGGTTTCTCCTATGCCGAGTATGGCGAGTACGTCGTACGTGCTCCGCTTGATCCACGAGGCAACTACACTCAAGGCAATGCCCACCTACCCTAGAGCACAACCGAAGAAGCGGCGAAGGACATCGCCGCCTTTGTCGCCATCTTCTTCGAGAACTTCATCTCTCTCAGAGGCCGGGCCTTCCACATGGCGGGCGAGTCCTACGGCGTACATCGAACCGTTATAGTGTCTGCAACGTCCACAGCGCTCACGTGTCTCGCAGGGACGCTACGTGCCACTCTTCGCGTCAGCGGTGTACGACCAAAACGCCAAACTCGTCGAAGCCGGGCTGACACCCATCAACCTCTCCTCCATCATGATAGGTTAGGTCTTCAAGTCATTTCGGGTCCTCATCTTGCTCCCTCATACGACTCCTGCCGCTAGGTAATGGCTGGACGGACCAATATGTCCAGTCTTTGGCGTACTATGACATGCAATGCGGCGGAGCTTCCTTTCCTCCCGTCTTCGACATCAGGTGCGTCACGAGGCACTCCAGCTATCGGAGGTCGGGCCTGAGTCAAGAGGATACATACTGCAGTACATGCGTGCGGATGAAGCAAGCCGTCCCGCGATGTGCGAAGCTGCTGCACGCGTCGTGCATGGACGTCTTCGATGGCGTCGGGTGCTACGAGGCAACGGCGATATGCGAGCTGGAGCTCCAAACGCCGTATATGGCCAGCGGTAAGACGCTCCATGCACCGACAGGTATCGGACCAAGGAAAGTAATTGCTGTCATGAGGCAGATAGGAACCCGTACGACATGTCCAAGAAGTGCGAGGGCGGAACAATCCTAGAGGGTAGCCTCTGCTACTCTGTCATCGAGTGCGCACCCATCGGCCTCTCACCGTTCACGCCCACTAATGCACAAATTAAAATCCCAGCTCCATCGAAGAATACCTCGCGCAGCCCTCCCTGCGCGCGCAGCTCGGCGTCGACCCGGCAATAACCACCAACCACACAACGCGCTCTGAGGCGGTCGGGGCACGCTTTGCCGCGTCGCTCGACGTCCTCCGCACATCGCACGACTACGTCGCCGCGCTCCTCGAGCGGCGCGTGCGCGTCCTGATCTACGCCGGCGCGTACGACTGGATATGTAACTGGGTCGGCAACGAGCGGTGGACGCGCGCGCTGGCGTGGAGCGGGCAGGCGGAGTTCGCGGGGCAGCAACTGAGGGACTGGGAGGTGGGCGGCGCGGTGGCGGGGAAGACGAGGAGCGCGCAGGGGTTCACGTTCGCTACCATTGAGGGAGCGGGGCATATGGTGTGCAGTTGAGCCCTTACTCCTTTATGGATCGTGTACTGATGACTGTATGGTTCAGGCTCCGTACGATAAGCCGAAGGAATCTCTGGAGCTTGTGAACAGGTGGCTGGCCGGCGAGGAGCTGTAACTAATAACCATTCATTGAACCTGCCTGCGTGACACATAAGAGTCCCTGTTAGCCGTCAACAGCGACTGCAGGCGAAGGGCTTCTGCAAATCCCACCACTTTCCGACGAGGTAAGAGTCTGAGCCTGGTGTAGTGCCAAACATTCCTACCAAACGGTTGTGATAGTAAGTGCCTCCTCGCTTGATACGAATACACTGGTAATCTTGCAACAAAATACCAACACAAACATAACAGTATAAAGCAACGGAAGGCTCTCCAACCGCCCAGCTACGCCGCCCCGCACACTTCCCCCAACAGCCGCCTCACCTCCGCTCCCTCCCTCTCCCTCCAAACTCCCGCAAACTTCCCGCTCCATCGCCCGCCCTTCCCGCCGCCCTTCACACCCATTTGCTTCAAGCGTTCCCCAACTTCTCTAACCAATTTATGGTCTGAGCCGAATACGAGCACGACGCTCGTGCTCGCTGCGGACTGGGATGAGGGTGACGAGGAGAGGGCGAGGAGATACCGCCCGGACGCGGAAGATACGAGGGATGTGGCGATAGCCGAGAGGAAGGATAGCGCAGCGGGTGTGTCGTCCGTGCGGTGTTTGTGCACTGCGTACACATCGTCCCCTCCCTTGGACTGCATATCCTTCAACAGCTCCCCCGCCACCATCCCCGCTAGCTCTCCCTCCACCTCCGCGACCCTCTTCTCCGCGCGCCGCCGCTCCTCCACGACCTGCCGCACGCGCTCCGGGACGAGCGGCGCGCCGCAGCTGAGCGTCGCGGCCGTGCTCGCTAGCAGGGCGTTGAGGGACCCGAGGTGCGACAGGAGGCGCGGGCCCGCGAGGAAGGAGAGGCGCACGGATGATGCGGAGGAGGTGGGGAGCGGGGGAACGAGGAAGAGCGGGAGGGTGTGGATGCTTGGGAGGTGCGTGCCGCAGCATCTGTTAGCGAGCATGGGTACGGAGGATAAGGAGGAGGGCAGGGAAGAGGACGCACGGATTGCGATCCACCCCGTCGATGACCACGACGCGCTTCACGCCGCCAGTGTAATCCTTCGGCACGCCCTTCCCCACCGCCCTACCATTCTCGAGCTTCTCGACCGCCTGCAGCTGCCCGTGCTCGCCACCATCCAATTCCGAGACCTCGACGTGCACCCTGCGCCCCTCGAATGCCAATTGACCCGCGAGCGCTTGTATTTGCGCCGTTTCGGCGGGCGTGAGCGCGCGCGGGAGCTCGACGGTGCCCGGCGCGGGCGAGGGGTGCGCGGGGAGCGACCAGGAGAGCGTGGGCAGCGCGAGATGCGTCTCCAGGAGCGCGGAGAGGACATGCTGCGCGGTGTGCATGCTCATCTAAACGTACGGGTGAGCCAGGCAGAGTGCGCTCGAACGAAAGACTGACTGACATGGTCGACCCGCCTTGCCCAGCCCTCCTCGCCGAGCGCGACGCGCACCTCCTCGCCGACCCCAAACGCAGTCGCACTCCCAGGCGCACAACGCACGTAGTGCACCGCGTGCCCGCCGACCCGCCTGACCTCGACCACCTCCCACGCCGCCCCGTCCGCCGTCGCGAGCACCCCGACGTCGGACGGCTGCCCGCCGCCCTCGGGGAAGAGCACCGTGTCATGCAGTATTATTTCGAGCAGGGGCCCGGGGTCGCTCGCTGATTTCTTCTTCTTGCCGCTGTCAGAGGCCTGCGCAGGGCGCGCGCTCACCACGCGCGTCGCCAATTCGCGCAACAACGGGTCTCCTGCGGAATTTGTTCATCCCTCGCGAAGCAGGCTGGGTGAGTACGAACGTACGCTGGCAAGCGAGCAGGCCGACGGGGACGGGCGTGCGGGCGTCCGTCGGGACCCGCAGCGTCGGCGAGACGATGCGGTGGTAGCACGAAGGCTTAGGGGTAAGAGTAGGGGGTTGTAAGACTAGCGCGGCAGCGGCCATGCTGAATGGGAGCTGTCGGACGGCTTTGGGTTAGTGGGACGAGGGCTAGGAGGTGTCTACGTAGGGTGACTCAGACTGTATTTATAATTGCGACTGGTTCTGAATTCGAAGGCGGGGCGATTAGCCCGGCTCCTTTATCTTATCTCGATCGTCAGGCACTGGAACTGCGCTGAAGCAGTGTGTAGAGTGAGTACAAGCAGTAGTAATGCAAATGAGCATGCTGTAGAGTACAGTAGTAGAAGTGTGAAGGTCCACGGAACCCGTACAAACCAGGGAAGCGGAAGCACGCGAGATACGGCAAGAATAACGAGTAGTCCTGCAAGTTCGAGTTCAATGTCTGCGAGGGTCCAACCAAACGTCCCTCCCCTCTCCCTACTAAGTCGGCACGAACACCATCGACTACACCACAGCAAATCATCAGCGGCCCGCGCACACAAAGAACAAAACGAACAGACGCACCACACTCGCCGGATTCCCCGAACGCGCGGCCGCGAACGCGGCGACGTCGCCCGTGTAGTACAGCTGCGAGGACCACAGCACGGGGCGCGTCGCCGGCTGGCCGCCGTCCGCGTTCACCCACTGCGGCGCGATCGCGAGCGTCGCCGCGTCGACGTAGAACTGCCCCGCCCGCCCGTCAGTCAGCACTGCACACACCACACAGCAAGCACGGCGCTCACGATCGTCGTCTCCGCGTACACGCCGTCCGTCGCGAAGTAGATGGGCGCGGCGCCCGCGGGCACTGCGGGGGGCGAGGGGGTCAGCCAGGGGCGGGAGGGGGGGAAGAGGGGGCTTACCTTTCAGGGAGACGCTGTGCGTGGAGAGGTAGCTGCGAGCAACGTCGTCAGCGCCGCGCGCCCATCCCCGCGCAGTCAGTCAGCTGGGACTCACTCGCTGCGGCCCTGCCCGAGCCGCGTGCCCGCGCTCGTCGTCGCGGCGCCCCAGTACCTGCGCGCGCCGTTCTGCGCAGATGTAGACGTCAGCCAGACACCCATACGCGCCACGACAGCGAGAGCACGTACATTGGTAGTCCACTCGAACGCCACCGGATTACCCGGCGTGTAGGTGAACGTCGTCGCGGCGTTCGCGGAGCCGACGACGATGTTGTTGTCTGCACGCACGTAGCCGGCGACGCTCGTGCCCGAGTAGAGCGCGATGTGCCCCGTGAGACTGCCATCAGCGCAACTGGGGTCAGCAAAGGCCAGAGACAAGGTGCAAGCGGGAAGGCAACGTACGGCTGGCCGGGGACCGGCGAGGTGCTCGTGCGCCGGACGCCTGCGCAGGAAGCGTGGAGTCAGTCATCATACACACCACGCCTGCACGCAGCTTGGTACTTACGAGTCGGCGAGTAGAGCGCGCGCGGCGGCAGAGGAGCAAGCCCCCTGGCGAGCCGCGCGCCGTTCGTCAGCGGCTCCTCTCCACTGGCACTTCGAGCAGCTATGGAGCCCGCGTCCCGGATGTACACGCGCGGCGAGGCGAGGACGGCCGCGACGAACGCGAGCAGGAGGACCGTGAAGAGTTGCGCGAGGCGTGCCATCGTGAGTGAGTTGAGGGGCAGGAAATTGCGCACCTTGTTTTATTGCAGCATCGTGCCTAGCCAGGACGCGAAAATGAATTCGACAAGGGCCAACGAGCGTCCGGAGCCTGGCCCTTCTGGGTCGTGACAGTCCTGACATTGACAAGTGACATACAAATGCCATTGATTGCCTTTTCCGGCGCGCGTGCCTGGCGAGGCACGTAGCCCTAACCCGAGTGCCAAGTCAGGTTCATTATCCATTCAAAAGTCTATTACGATGAGCACGCTCATCGTCTATTCAGTACAACAAGCAACGTGACCCAATGGCGATAGAGACCCGCTCACTAGCAGCTACACCTCGCCTGCCATCCACTCCGCGGGCTTATCGCACGGCGCCTGGCGCCCAATCAGCCTTCCCTTCCCTCCCCGCGCGCATGCCGGACGGTCAACTCACATATGCCCCGCCCCCGCCACAGTCGCGAACACCAGCCCCCCCTTGCTCTCGCCCCTCGTCCGTCCCGCCACCCTCCCATGAACCACCCACTCCCTCCACGCCCCCGCCCTCCACTCCCCGCCCCCGGCCGTCTAATTCACTTACCCACCGCGCGTTCCCGACGCAGTTGCACACAATGTCGTTCGCGCCGGCGTACACGAGCACGCGGACGCCGCGGTCCAGCAGCGCGGCGGTCGGCGGGTACAGCGCGTCGTGCGCGGCGGCGAACGCGGATATAACGGAGGGCGCGCATTCGGAGAAGGGAGGGGGGGCGCGCGGGTCCACGCCCAGGGCGGCGCGGGTATGCGCGTGGGAGAGGTACGCCGCGATGTCCCCGTCAAATGTCAGTAGATGCACAGACACGAGTGGAAAGAGCGCACTTGGTCTCGGGGTAGCACATTATGTATGACGTTCCGTTTGCACAATAATTATTCGGCGCGCCATAGCACATCGTCTCCTCGTACGCGCCCGCGCACTTCTTGCTCATGTCGCGCGGACGGGGCGCACCGAGCTGCATGAACAGGCCCAGCGCGGCGGAGCACCCGGGGCCTACCACACAGCCCCTGCGGAGAGCAAGCGACGCGGGCGCACCGCCGCTCGTCCAGAACACGACGTCGTCCCTCCCGGGGTCGCGCCGGCTCTCGAAGAAGTAGAAGAAGAGGTGCCGCGCCTCGATATCGATGTATCCGGTGTACGCGCTGCCTCGCCGTCGTCGTTAGCCCCGCGCCCAGGACGCACTCACGCAGCACCCGCATCGCAGAAGTCGCGGACTAGGTGTCCGTGAGAGCGGCGAGGTCTATGTAATGGTCAAGTCCATTCCATGCTTATGTAACGTAGTCTATGTAGTTTGTAGGCTTTGTCTTGCCAACGCCAGTAATCGACACCTTTCTGTTCATTCTCGTCCGTCTGCGCCTCGTTCGCCGCGCGTTCTGGTCCTAGGTGTTCGGGCGCGGTCCTCGCAACCGCCATGCCCGTGCGAGTCTACCGCGGCTGCCAGGGAGGGGAGAGACAGAGCCAGATACACTGGCAGGGGAAACATGGTGGTGCTGAACGCGTCATCCTCGAGCGCCCAGGATACCCGCTTCCTCTCCCAGACTCCCAAGGGCTCCGTTCCCCCTAGAGTCTGGAATGAAACAAAATATATGCATTACACCCGCCCATAAATTCTACATTATATACTTTTACTTCTATTCTTCTACGCCTCCTCCTCACAGCTGACACTCCACCGCTCCCACTCCGCCCGCCCCTCCTGGATCTCCACCACGCGCTCCCACAGCGCCCTCGCAACTGGGCCATACCCGCCCTCGTACTCCGGCAACAACACGTCCCGCACCTCCTTCTCCTCCTTCCCCGCCACCTCCACCTCGTACCCGATCCGCCCGACGGGCACGACGACGACCGCCGTGCCGACGCCGAACGCCTCGAGCAGCCGGCCCTCGGCGTACCAGCGCACGAGGTCCGCGACGGTGAGCGTGCGCTCGTGCGCGTGCACGCGTGTTGCTGGCGGGAGCGCGGGCAGGGCGCGCGTGGACGGCGTGTGCGCGCGCACGAGCGCGAGGCACGAGTCGCGCGTGAGCCCCGGGAGGATCGTCCCGTCCAGCGGCGGCGTGATCACGTCCAGGTCTGCGAGCCACGCGTCAGTCCATCACATACACCCCCCGCGTGCGAGAGCAACACTCACCGCCGTCCGCCCGCTTCACCACCACAAAGAAGTTCATCGCGCCCGCCTCCGTGACCTTTAGTCCCTCCAGCCCCCTCCCCTCGCCCTCCTTGAACAGCCACAGCACCTGCATATACCCCTTCTGCGCCGCGCGCTTCTGCGGCTCGAACCCCGGCGCGTAATTCAGCCCCAGCTTATACCCGCCTGTGCCCCCCGGCCACGCGCGCACCGCATCACACACACCCAGCAAGCTAATCGGCTTCGGGCCCGTGCGGAAGTACGGGCCCATCGGGCTGAGAATGATGTACAGCAGCGCGTGGTCGGACGCGGACACGCCGAGCGCGGGGCGCGTGCCGATGATGGTTGGGCGGATGTACAAGGCGCAGCCGCGCGCGCGGGGGATCCAGCGCCGCTCGAGGAGGACCATGCGCTTGATGAGCGCGAGGAGCGCGGAGGGCGAGAAGGGCGGGAGCGCGACGCGCGCGGCGGAGCGCTGCATGCGCGCCATGTTCAGCTCCGGGCGGAAGAGGCGGGGTTCGCCGTCGGGGCCGAGGTACGCCTGGGTGCGGTGTGGTGCTGTAGCGATTGATATGGAGAGTGGATGGAGACATGGTGCGCACCTTCATCCCCTCGAAGACGTTCGGGCAGTACTGGAAGCACGAGCTCGCAGGGTCGAGCGAGAGCGGGCCGTACGGCTTGATCTCGGGCGCGGACCACCCGTGCGCGGGGTCGAACGTCGCGACCAGCATGTGGTCCGTCATTTGCTATGTGGTGTCACGAAGATCGAGGTCAGATGGAGTAGCAATCAGACTGAGGACTGTACGCACTTGGCCGAAGACGAGCTCCTCGACGGGCGGGATGGGTTTCGGCGACTTCGTCAGGGTGACGGTGACCTTCGATGCCTGGCATAATCCGCAAGTAAGGATACATCCTATCGAAATACTGGGAAGAGACGTACATCGAGCGGCGCGAGATTGTTCGCGCTGAAGTGATTAGTGGCCTCTGGGTCGGCCGCCTTCGCGGATCCGTTGGGGACAGCCCCGTTAGCCATAGTCAGCGAGGAGAAGGATGGAGGAAAAGAAAAGGAACAAGGAGAAGGAGTTCTTATAAGAATTCGAAGGAGTCATCGTGGACGAGCGAGTCAATTTTGTCTTATCCCCTTGGGTCAGGGGCTAATTATCGCGCGTGTGAATACGAAGTGGCTTTGATAGACGCCCGTAGCGGGGCGAAGTGGACCCGCTTTGGTGTCAATGGATTGAGGAAATGCCAAGGGGCATCGCCTGGAGAATTCCGTGAACCCGACTACCTCGACCGCAGTTGGACTTACTTCGCCCTCCGATAAACACAACCAAACAACACCTAATGCGGTAGGTAAGTCAGGTGACCTCCCGCGCCGCCGGCGCCGCCTGAGGGCTTTCCCGCGTATAGCAGTCCTAAGTAAATAGTGGCTACAAATGAGCTCTAGGGAGGAGAAATAAACTATTCAAAAAAATTTGCTGCTTCTACATCTAAGAGAAATGAGCGTAGTCTGATGGACTCTCGACAATGTTAGACAGAAAAAGATACATAAATAAAAAATGCACTACCACGCCTTGAACTCTCGTCCACAACACAAATCACTAACGCTTTAACCATTAGACTACGAGGGAATACAGATGCAGCGTTATATAGTAATTATGTACTGCACAGCAAGGCAGATTTACATTAGTGTAAACGATGCTTCTCAATTTGGTAGTCGACACCGGAGGCCCGGCTCACGTGATTCACCTGCCTGATATGGGCGTGTTTGGTCGTGTTTATCGGAGGGCGAAGTAGCAAAAGCGCTCGACCGCCTCTGATCGGCGGTCATGGGGTCCTGCTCATGTAATCGCCCCATCATTGGTCAGAACAGCAATCTCGCGGCAACCGCGATATTTCACCGACCGTAGATTAGATCACGCCGCTGTGGAAAATGAGACATTGGCAGCG